AAGAAGACCTCTGAAGCATTTCGAGTGCATGTAGAGCAATTCCTTCAAGACGAACGAATAATGGCTTACAGAAGCGAACGGGGTAAGCAGCGGTCTATGGAAAATGGGGAATTTTTGTGATGGTGACTTGATCATGTTCTGAGCAGTGAAACCCAGCACTGGCAAGGATTGTCGTGCAGTCATGGTGATATGTAAATACGTTTTGCTATTTTACCGGCATGCACGTTGCTGCTCAGAATGATGTACTGTGTCCAGTATGATGACCTGACAAACGTCAGTATTGCGCGCAGTCGACCCCCGCTCTGGTCGCTTCATCCTGTGGCCGGACGACCGTTCATTGGTCCGCTCCGGGATGGCGGTCGCCACGACCGCGGAGCGACCCCCGGGGTCGAACACTCTCAACACCGCTGTGCTGCGCGGGGCGGCGTCAGCGGTGCGGAGCGGCCCCGGGGTCGAACACTCCCAGCACCACTGTGCTGCACGGGGCGGCGTCAGCTGGGTCAAACACTCCCAGCACCGCTGTGCTGCGCGGGGCGGTGGCGTCTTAGTTCAGTGTCTGGTGATGTGTGTACGTGAGTGTTTGCGACAAATCTGTGTTGAGATGGCTAATGAAGTGCGAAAAATATACGGATCCTATGTAACGCTAGCAATGAAGTTTGAATGGAAAATTAAATTAAGAGCTGAAACAGCCGTTATGGTGCGTTCGGTAAGCATCATAGCGCAACATCGGCTGATTCATGTGGCCATGTGGACCGTAGGAGCCACGTTCATCGCTAAAGGCAAACGGTCTGAGGTCAGGGCAAGATGTGTATGTGGGGACATTGACAACATGTATGGGCGTTTAAAGGAAATATGTGTTCTAAACATTTATCCGCGAGGGAGAGGAATCACGATCTGAAAAAGTTTTTAAACATAAGTACACTTTTTTCGATCCTTGCTTTCCACTTCCGGGGACAAAGGTACTGGACGTGCAAGACACGATAAGACATAAGAAACAAGCCTGTTAGGAGAGGATAAACGAGTGGTTCCCACAATGTCCATGTACATAACCGTCGTCGCTGGGGTTGACACCATTACGATCCCAAACATCTCGGCATTGATAGGCTTATTACAATAATTGCCAGCCATATGGAAGTGACGCAGTTTGTTCTTGTTTAATGTTAACTCCGTTTGCGAGTACACCTTAGCTCATAGCCTTAGCCTTATACCTAGTAAACGAGCCTCTTAGCTCACGAATGGCCGAGTCATCGTCGAATCTTGTTGTGAATTAGAGTTGTCACTTGGGGATTCCGAACCCCCGTCCCGCCCGCAACGTAATTATCTGAGAACCGTCATCTAGCCAGCAGTAAAGTTACAGGCGAAATTCCCACAGAAGTTCACAGGACAGAAGCTTTAAGTCTCACTTTGTACCCACAATCACACCTGTAGATGCACATAATCGATTTGTGTAAGATTTCTATGACAGCGGGTTCTGCCGACGTAAGCCCAGCTGCTCATTTTTTGCGTACTTTGTCTTGTCCACTTCTTTGTCACTTCTTAAGCTCCCAGACCTCCGCTTGCTGGCCGTCAAAGCCTGCAGAGAGCCAGCCAGCCCGCGTCCCCTGGACTTGAGGACTCAAAAGTGGTCCCAATGGCGAGAGCAGCTGAACTGAGGACTCAGCGGCTCATAGATCAGGAGCCACTCTGGGCCGCGGGGGCCGAGGTGGGGGATCCGTCATTCAGGTGGAGAAGCATTAATCGCAGAACAAAATGGTGCAGCGTTATTAGCTAGGAAAATGATCGCGTGGAAAATCAAGCACTGTGCAAATTCGTCATGAAGTGGTCGCAATATATCACCTCGCACGATAATGTGGCATCAGTGACTCGCTTTGGCGTGTCACTTATGTGGTGTGCACGAACAAAGGGCCGTTGCTGCACATGCCCGCTAGGTGGCTCGACTGATGAACTGCGTGGAATGTCTGGATTGTTGAGGGGTCACAGCGCATTTCCACAGCGTTTCGACGGCGGACTAAAGCGCAGGAGCTGCAAAATTTTAGTTTTTGCTAGGTTTGCTGTGCTTAAAAAGCTGCTTTCTGAAATATTTCTTCTCTGGTCATTTTAGGGAGAATGAAATAGCAAACTTGTATTAGGGCCCGGGGACTGGTGGACGCTGCTGGACGCGGCCCACTGCGTCTCAGCTTTGCAACAAAGCTGGATGGGCACAGAGCGTTAACATCCCATATTGGTTTGAGTGCGCATTATTTTGCAGCTCGTCCGTCAGCTGTTTCCACTTCAGATAGCCTGGGTGAGTTCCTTGTGATAGGGTGGGATTGAGCATATACCCAACAGCGCAAGGACATTGCAGACAGGTTGCATGGTGTGGGAGGGTGTAAAAACTGTAATGTTAATGGTTGTTATCCTTGCATCCGCAGTGTGCAAATGTATCCGGATTTTTGCTCCCATTGCACCAGGGTCTACGCCTGAAGCGCTTGCAATGCGCTTTACCTCAATTCCATCGCAGCCATTGCAGCTACCGATTTGATGCATTCAGCCACAGTGTACCTTGGGCACGATCTCTGTTCTGAATTGATTGGCCTGTGGGTATCTAAGTTCTAAGCACGTGTGATGGTAGATAAATAAGTTATATGAACGTTCTTGCATTAACTTCGAAGACGAACAAGCTAGAGCGAGCTTTGCTGCCCACAGCCGCTTCAGCCTGGCCTGCACCGCGCCACCACCAGAGGCGCCTGCGGGTGGTCACAGCGCAGTAATGCTTGCGACTGCCGTGCCTAGGTTAGAGAGGCTCAGGCGCGCGAGCGAGGAGACGCGTGAGATCACGCACATGCCGCGCCGAAGTCCCCCAGTAACAGCCACGCAGACGCCTCGACTTTCGAGATATCCGCAGATGTTTTGGGGAGCGGATGAACGCACGCCTCCAAAGCTGAGCAGTGCGCACTATTTGCACGAAACTTAGCACAAGCTGAAGGCGCAGTTGGATCCCTTCTACCCTTGCTGACGATATTCATACGAGCAGCGGCGTGGTTGAGTGTTTGGGACATATTACCCGTGATATTTTGACCCGTGACATTTTACCCCGTGAGTTTATGAGCGCACGGATGCAAATGCAGAAGTGTATGAACGTAGTGCTCCATGCGGGCACGTGTCTTCCCATCTTTTAAATTTATGATATATTAAGGCGTGCGAGATTAACGTTGATCGCTGATATTCGAGAGAGACGCGTAAAATCTAACAGATAGAAAACACGCCAAGCTGTTTTACGCTATGCTAAAAACTTGTCTGCCTGCGGATTTCTTACTATGGGTTGTCAGTGAAAATGTTTGAGTCGTCCCCTCCCCTCCCCCCCCCCCCCCCCCCCCCCCCCCCCCCCCCCCCCCCACCTCCTCACTGCAATTCCTTCAACCGCCCCCCTGAAAATGTCACGCCAACAAAGAATTCACGGGGCTTTAGTGCGGAAAGGAGTGTTCAGTTAAGCTGGCCCCCTCGTTGACTGTTGAGATCACTGAGTACGCGTGCCTTTACACTGCCGGATAAAAAATTATCGGATAAGAATGAACGTGAAAACCTTAAAACTGACCTATCGTAGGCTCATTTTCTCGGCCCCTTTCAACTGGGAACAGACTACTAGTTTACTGTAACGAAGTTTCGCTTGTGCTCAAAAGGCAATATGCGGTGTCCAGTCACAGGAACCAGTAACATAACAGCTTTTGGTTCATGAATTTACACTATTTTGCCGTGGTGGGTTTGAATTTGTACGAGAGGAAAATGTTTTGAATTTCAACACGCCCAGAAGCGAGTGTGGGGTAGGAGGTGCGGAAGTGCCGATTTATAGGGGAGGGAAGAGCGACATGGGACGCCTCGTTTTTTTTTTTAAAGGCGTGTGATCGGGGTTATCTTTATGTGGAAATGTCCCGTCTGATGCGCCTCTCACCTTCGACAGAGGGCAAGGAACTCATCCCAACTGAGTGAGAAAATCGTGCGGTGTAATTGCACTTCCCGCGCCGTAGACTTCTGTCACGAAGATGAGGAAAATTCTCAGCCTACCGCTAATTTCAGATGTTAAATATCAAGGCCTGCGACCAACCCGAGCACGCTTGCCTGGCCGTGCGAGCAGCGCGGGGAAGTGATGCACAACCCGCGGAAGGCCTCGGCGTTCGAGCGCGCCGTATTCAGCTGCATTTGCATAGTGTTGTTCGGTCCGTTCCGGCCATTTTTCACACGTCACGTTGTTACGTGCACTGGATTTATTACATGCTGGCCGAGCGAGCTGTCGTGAATGGTGGTTCCCATCGCTTCAGAGTGACTTGCTTTTAGCTAAGCGAAGCCTGCATTCGGCGCCGCGTGCACGATTCCATTCGAATGGCTCCCAGGTGAAGGTGTGCCCAATCATGGTTCGGAGAAGTGACTGGCTGTCCTTGGAGCCGACCTCTGCTCCTCGCTCAAGGTCACGTCCCATGAGGCGCGGTCTCTGATACTCTGATACTCTGGGTCGGTACTGGCCACCGAGCGCTCTCAATGTCTAGTCGTGATGCTTTGCATCGGAGGTGCAGCCACCTGCAAAGGGACTTTGGCTTTGCTTAGCCCGGTCGACGTGAGCGTCAAAATATTATCAGCCTCTAAGGAATGCTTCCCAGCATGAAAAGTTCGGTGCTGTAACGACTACCTTGTCCTGGTTACCACAAATGTGTTGGCCAGCGTCTGCTCTAATCTCCTGGTGCGGCAGAAACCCTGCGTCGCTGTATCTCCGTGCGCGGTCAGTTGGCTCCTTCGGTTCTGGGTTATTTTGACTGCACGCAGCCTCGGGAGAAGGCGCACCTTGTTTTGCCTTGCTTCCACAGCAGCAGAATCCGCATTTTCACAGCTACGATCAGCAGGCCGTGCCTCAGTTTCGTCAGCCTGATAGCGTTTGAAAGCAGGCCTGTACCTCTACTTCGCTAAGTACGTGAACCGGCTGCACCTCTGTTTCGCTAGTGCCCTGAACCGGGCCGTGTCTGTGCCGCCAGCTACGGCAACCGGGGGCATAACCAGCCGTGCATACACCACGGCACCGGCCGCTGCTTCATCACGTCACAGAACCATGGCTACGCCGTCGACGAGGCCTCCGTGCCCGAGCCGTGGCAGCCGCTCTTCACCAACGCCAACGACAAGACTAATGAAGGACTGCTGCACGCTACTAAGCCCTTCTTCAGGTATGCGCGCGGGCGCAGCCGGTATGTCTGCGGCACATGTCGCGGCGTCATTGCTCTGCCGTTTCAAGGTAATGCTAAACGGGTTTTAAGGATCACGCTCCGGGGCCTCTGCAGCATTATCGATGATGCGGCATCGCACGAGTGTGCCTGTGTTTGGCCTGTGCTGTGAGAGGGGGATTACCCGGTTCCCAAGGAAGACGCCAGTGGAGTGTGTAGGAAAATGACCGCTTGGTGCATGCTGGCACAGCATTCCTGTAAGCGACAGCGTTAAGAAGAACGGACGGCCATTACCTGTCAGGGTTCCGTGTAGCTTACACCGAACCAAGCCAGCCGCGCCGTGATTCCGAATGATGAGCGGAACAGCCGCGACCCTGTCACAGCGCAGACGTGACGCCGGCGAGGTCCTGCCCTTGGCACTGACAGTTCATGCGGGCCCAGCCGTTGGGAATCGGCCCCGCACGGCCAAACGACACCAAGACATGAAGAACGACCCTCACGAATGCGATAATACTCCGCATATGCACACTGTACGGAGTGGTAGTCTCCACTCCCCCCCCCCTTACTTCCCGTCCCTTCCTCCTCCTCCTCCTCCTCCTCCTCCTCCTCCTCCTCCTCCTCCTCCTCCTCCTCTCTCTCCTCCCTCCTCCTCCTCCTCCTCCTCCTCCTCTCTCTCTCCTCCTCTCCTCTCTCTCTCTCTCTC